AGTTGACTTGATGATGTTTTTTAGTAGTAGTAGATGATACAGACATTTTACTGAATTCTCTGTTTATCTGTTCAAACTTTCCAGAATAATCAATTAGAGTTATGAGTTATGACAGTGCTTTATGTAGGCTTGTTTATTGTTATCTAATAGAAGCAGAGTTAGCTGTGGCATGAACAATTTTGCTGAATTCACTTAGTTTATCTGTTCAAAATATCCAGAATAAAGTGTCACTCAATCAAGAAGAGCAACTGTAGAAATTGACATTAGTAGGAACTGTGAATTACAGCATTGGAACACATCAATTTGATGATATATTTAAAAAAAAATCTTGCTTTCAGTTCATTTAAAGTCTAGGTACCACTCACTTTCCATGTTTATTTTAATTCCTTTATGACAGCTATACCACTTCTCTAGTATTAACAGTCTAGAAAGCAATGAATGGTTAAATGTATACCATAATTGTTTGTGGCAGTAGAATAGCTCAGTCTGTAACCTATTTTGTTGTATATTAAGGGATTAGGTGACTTGGGTAATAAAAATTCTTATGCCACCACCAGTGCTTCCAAAAGTTGAGCCAGTACCTGTATTGTTAAAAGCAGTTCAAAATGGCTTTTATTTGGTATCTTTTATCTATGCATAAATGTAATAAAAAATGGGGCTTTGTCTTATTTTTCTGAATTTATTAGTTTAATAGAACTTATTAGAATGCAGATCTGAAAATGGATGGAATTGTGTTCTATATAAGAATGGAATGAGACAATATTGTGTTTGTATTTTTTGGTGATCTATCAACAGTCTTGATGGCATGACAGAAAGTTATTATTATAGCTAGACAAAACCATTTTATTTAATACATATTCTCCTTTCCTGTGGTTCAGACAATAGGGGTGTCTGGCTCAGTGAGTTAGAGGCCTGCATGCTAATGTAGTTGTTCTGGCTTCTAATCCACCATAATATTGAAATAGACATTTCGAATTTTCAACTCTGTTCTTCCTGAAAGCAGGTTATAAGGGATGACTTCGAAAAGTAATGAGTTGGATTGTCATCTATTTGGTTTCTTGATTTCAAAGTCTCAGGAATGTAAGAAAAATTTCCAGAAATGCCACAGCCAGTGTTTTCTCAGAATTGTATGGGCTTCAACTCCAATCGCACTCTATGAATAATTTGATAATTTAAAGAGTTTTTAGTTTTTATGTCTTACCTGACAATATCTAGGCTAAGTATCTGAGTTATCTACATCAGACAAATGATTCAGAAGCTAGGATTATTCTGTCCATTTACTGTTTTCAGTAGACTGTCTGTACTAGACTAACAGATAAAGACAAAGAACTTTCATTTCCCACACCCAAATAATAAAAAATACCAGCTGAAATATAGTCCGAAACTAGCTTACTCTTGTCTGGCCTCCCTTAGTTATTCTATTTCATATAATTCTGAAAACTAAGAGAATCAGAAAACATTCTCTGCTATGTGTTAGATGGTGATGAGAACATAGTCTCGTAAAAGCACTGGCCTAGGTTACCTTGCATGGTGGTATGCTTCTAAAACTTAATCTAGACCAAAAAAATATCTTATGAAATTTTCAAAAATGCAGAACTTTCTAGCTTCTGAAGGGTTTCGTTTTAAGAAGCTAACATAACTATGATTTGGGTTGAGATAATTTGAGAAATTGAGTTTTAAGTTTTAAATTAAAATCAGTACATTTCAGACTAGTTGAAATAAAGATATATTACATTTCTTACTGTGAACACCAAACATCTGGAATAATGACAGTTTACACCAGAAATCTGTGGAATTAGAAACACTTGTTTTGTTTTTCAACAATCTCTTATTGGGTAGAACTGTAATAAAAGCTCCATCTTGGCGTGGCTCTCATTTTGTTTTGATATTGAAGTTGTAAAAATCTGTGTAGAATAAAAAATAACTGAAAAAAACTTTGAATTAGTAGTGATACATCACAAATGTTTGCTACTTTTAAAGAAAAACCTGGCCCTGGAATTGAAATCAGCCCCGTTTCCAGGAATGAGTTGGTGCTGGGACTCACATTTTTTACTCAGAAAATTTGAAGAATTAAAGACCCAGACTCTAGAGAACTCATTTCTGACAATTTGGAGGTGCCAAAACAAATCAAAATCTATATCTTTTTCATTTTGTACAAAGACACTGTAAATGAATCAATCTCTGCTGAACTGAAGAAGGATTTGCTTGGGCTTAATTCTCACTTGCTGGGGCCCAGCCCCCACAGACCCCACCCTAATGACGGGGCTGATTGAAATGCAACCACAATGCAAATGATGACAAAAAATTCAAAATGGACTATCCAAGTGACAAAACAATTACTTTTTGAACATGGAGATTATAAGCCCAATGTAAATGATTATTGAAATATCTAGGCATTTTGATTATGTACCCGTAACCATAATTAAATTTTATACTCAATTCAACCAGACTATATTCACACGTGCTGTATGTGCTGTACCTGGTAATTATTACTGTAAATACTACCAGTAGTACCCAGTATGATCTATTAAACAACCACATTATTTCAAGGTGATAACACACCAATATTATTAGTAGGAAACATGCTAATTTACATACATTTAAATCTTGTAGCTCATTTATATTCTCAAACAAACTCATTATATACCTCTACTTTCTTTCTATTCATGGTAGAGCTGAAATGCCTCGTGAACTATGTTACTTGTAACTTGGATTGATATTTTGCATAGTTTTTAGAGTAATTGCATTTGTCTGAAATCAAAGGCGAAAGGAAAGATATTGTAAGCACATTGTTTGGTCATTTTGATGGGATTGGTCATGAAACTGGTGCCCTATGTTCAACAATATGGGTATGTTATAAATAAGTTTGGAATATATTCAACAAGTGTCCTTCATCTGGGACTTATTCTTCAAGCTGAACAAAGATGAAAATCCTGATTGTAGAAATACTGTAATCTGTTTAAATATTAAAAGAAAACTTAAAATCAATTTGAGTGATTGAAGAGTTGTATTACTGAAACACTGAAATCATTTAAAATTAAGTAAAGTTGAAAGAAGAAGACCTTGCTATAACAATATTAACAGCAATGCTCATTGTGGGTTGAATGTATTCTTCTTGTCTCTCTGCAGCACTATAAGAACTCTCTTTACCTTATTATTCAAAGAAATCTTTTTATTTGTTTATGTCCTTGCCTAGTGATTTAAAACAAACGTCTTCAATCAGAACAATAGAAATATGTGTCCTTGCCTAGTGACTTTAAAAACAAACGCTTTTAATCAGAACAAAATAAATATATAGAACAATTCCCAAAGGGATGACTGTTTAACAGGCCCAGTGAATATTCACCAGGCATTTCATACCAGCCAAATATCTTATAATTACCTTCATAAAATATTCATTTTGCCGAATTATTCCATCCAGCTGTCGGTAGGTTAACTAGTACTCGCAAGCCATTCAGTACTTTTGCTTATTTTTCATTTCTTAAGATCCATTCAGTAGTGAACTATTAGTAAAGTAAATGTGAGGAGTGAGAAGTCAGTGTTGGTGAATGAATGAATTGTTGTGTATTGTATTTTCCTTGGTGGTATAATTGAATATTTTGACAGGTCCACACAATAAGCACGAGGAAAATAAGATAGTCGTTTTGATTAATTGATTTGTGGTTATTGTATTGATATTTTCTATGATATTAGCCCGATCTTACAGCTACTCAAGTAGGTGATATGTAGGAAACTAAATGATTGTGTGTTTACTGTGAGTCAATAAGTACATTGTACAGTCAAACTTGCTAAATACCTAACCAATCATAATTCAAGGCTGAAGCTCAAAATATGGCAGAGCGTGTATGGGTGAATTCAAAATATGTAATTGAAGAAAGTTCTAAAATTTGACAATTATCTTGACCTTTTCTATCTAACATAGGGAAACATTCCATTTGATTTTTAAAAGTAACCCTTGTCAGTTGCTTTTTCTGTCATGTCTTTAAAAATTGTGTCTTAGGCCAGACTTGAAGTTTCATTTTATTTCATAAAAATGATGGGTATGGATGATTCAATCAAGAAGTTGATACTATGTGCTGCTGGTAGACTTCATCTGTTTTCTCTCCATATTTGAAGCGGTCAAGTATGACAGTGAAAAACCATATTGATATTAAGAATCTGTCAAACCCTAGGGACAGTGTAAAAGTAAGGTGTTATAGGTGTATTATTTTATATAGTGTAATAATGAAATAAGATTACATTAGACTAGTTTTCAAGAGGTAAATAAACAATGTTATGACCTTTACTACAAGCTAACCCTAACCACTGTTTAACAGATGTACTGTACTCTAGTTTACCTTCAATGTATTGGTGATATACCTATTACCCTGTTTCACTAAATATCGTGTATAATCAACATATATCATCACAAGTGTGGAACTTTAATGAATTTTGATTTCACCCTAACCACTGTTTAACAGATGCGTTCTGTACTCTAATTTACCTTCAATATATTGGCAATATACCTACAACCCTGTTTCAAGAAATACTTTATGATCAAAATATATGACAAAAGCCACTTTGTTTAAGCTTATAAACTGAATTATCAATTTTTTTAATTATGCTTTTTGTATCTGAATAGTTATTTTTGAATTTTGATAGGCTTTTGTCATCAGATATTTTAAGATTCAGGTGACTTGTATATGAGTCATAAGATTGTTTTTTTTAGAAAACAGCCTTAAGAGAGATGTATTGACAGTTATTATCAGTTTAAGCTTATAGCGTGTTATGATTTAAAGAAAGTTTTTTAATTTAAAATGCATTTTGTTAACAACCTGTTTTTTAAGTGAAGTTATTCTTGTATTTGTCAAGGAAATATCTTTCACATTTAAATATTAACTTCTGACAGTTTGATTCAATCTCCTCATTTGTCAGCAATTTTGTGAAAAATAACAAAGTACATAACGTTTCAACACAATTTACATGTTTTGTCATCAGATGAATTGAAGGAGGGAGTAAACATGGTAATATATAGCAAAAAAGGGGGGAAACCAGAAGTAGAAAGGCAGGTAAAACCAAGTGGATATTAAAGGGATTGTAAAGCTTTTTTTTTTAAATGTGTATGCTAATACTGCTGTCAATGCTAAATTTTCTTCATTATACTCTCCATTTAATTCTGAATTTATTACCCAATTCTAAACTGAATTCCAAAACTTTAAATGGCTCTCTGCATCAAGAAATAAATAGTAGGAGATTTTGTTTAAAATAAAAGCAAGCCCTAGTAACAGATTGTTAGAAGTATATTTACTAGGTATTAAGTATATTTACAATTATTTACTGTATATTCTTTAATTCATAGACCTGTAACAGATGTAACCATGTTCTAATTTAAGATTAACCAGAAAAACGCCAATGATATCCACGACAGGTGGCGCTTTCTTCTTTATGACATACTTAATACTTATATTATCGACCTTCGTAAACTTAATTTTAAATATTATTTAAATTTGTTTGAAAAGTATCTTAATATTTTGACAGAAGCATCGATACTATGTTATGAATTAAATTTATTTTGTTGCTGTTACATTTTGTATTTTTGAATTTGGAAGACCTAGGCATTGGACGTTGAAGGTCTGCCACTATAAAGCTAAGCAATGACTATAAATGTAAAAGTCATTAATCGGATTAAGTGTCTGATGTTTTTAATTAGCATTTTTTGCTTGTGATGTTTCTGATTAGATTATTTAAGTACCTATACAGTATAATCATTATAATTGTAAATATTATATATTTTATAGGCTGTAGAAGATAGTTTACTTAAAGAAGATTATAATATAATATATGATGATATTGTAACAAGAATATTAAGATACAGTTTATCTTCTAACCAAATAAAGTAAGTTATCTACCCTTGGATTCGATCATTATTCATTTGTATTACCATGAACATTATGTATTGACGTTTAAACCATACATCCTCAATAGATAAAGGGAACAGTTTATGTGAATCTAAATGGCATTTTTTCATAAAGAATAGTTTCCTATAATTCTAAATTATACACAAGCATGTCATGCTGGACTTATAGACCAATCAATAGAGTCCTACAATTAAGCCATTAGCCTTGTGCTCGGTGAGATTTACAAAAAAAACTAAAAAAATTGCTTTTTGGTTTATTAATGATTTTAAAACTGTAGATACTACACTGAAGATTACACATGGCTAATGTCATTTTGATGGTTAATGTACTATTCTGTATTTTAGATTATGTAATTATAAAGAATATATCAATAAATTAATTAATAAAACAGACGATAAAGATCTTAACGAGAATATCTTACAATCAGGTCAATTACAAAACTCTACACCAACAGAAAAGGTAAGAAAGTTGTACTTAAAAGTTTAAATGTCAGTTACAGTTCATGCATAGCTAAAAGAATCTTTAAATCTCCAAAATTGATCATACAATTGATGAATACTAAACTTTACCAGTAGAAATGTAAGACATTGTCTCTTTTTTTTTTGGACATCAGCGATATATATTAAGAAATTGCAATTAAAAGCAAAAAATTCAATTAAACTGATCTGATTAAATACAAATGTTTCTTTTTTAACTCCATTTGCCACCAATGATCTGACATGATTGTTATGTATCTCCTGTTCAAGGTCACTTGAAATTTAACCAATCAAATGCTCTGTTCGATATTCATTGCTCTGTTCGATATTCATTGTTTAACATAGACTTATCTTCATCCCACTTAAATCTTTTTGCTTATAATAGTATAGCAGAAATGACATATTTTGATGCTATTTTTGCATGTTAAATTATTCATAAATATGACTTAAAATACCAGACTGAAAGTATTTATCTTGTTGCTCTGTTAATAATTATATAATTTTTTCAGTTGCTGATATTAAAGGCTGTAATTGATGAAACATTAGACAAACATTCAGATGATCTAGATGATTATTTAAATGATCATTTTACCTCTCAAAACCTGGTGAGTTATCTTTTCTTCTTTCAAATTGCAATTTTTTTTTTATTGTACTTTGTATTGAAAACAATTGATGCAAAGCTTTTTATTATTGTTGTAATTTGTACCCTTTCCTGTCATGTCTCAGCAAAACTGAAGAGCTGCTACCAAAATAATATTGGATATCTTGTGATGGGTGACATAAGCCCTTTAAATGGTTTTGGCGTCCTTAAAAGTAATGACAAGAAACTTTTAGTTAAAAACCTTAAAAACCGTCTATGTTGTTCCTTAATTCAAGCACTTAACTATCCCAACTTATTAAAAAAAATCATACTACCCTTTAACTTGTGAAATTTTTATATTAAATCAAAAAAAAAATTAAACAACTCAACATACTTTAAGTATGTTAATTCAAGTCAAGTAAGGAAAATAACTTATCAATGAAGGTCCCCATCTTTAAGTGAAATTTTTTTTATAAAAAAGTTGAATAATAGATGTAAGTATAAGATATATTGAGTTTTATAAGTGAAACTGTATAATAAAAGGCTCTGTTTATGCGACACTCCCACTTAATATATATATAATTTGTTTCCATCTTATATACAATTTATTACCAATTTTTATCAGATTTGAAAACCTCCCATTTTACACCTGATGACATGATCATATACTTTACAATATTGACTATTAAAACTTCACAATGTTTCCCTTAAATTTTCCTTCAATACTTTATATTATTGCTCTTAAATTTTCTTCAATACTTTATATTATTGCTCTTAAATTTTCTTCAATACTTTACATTATTGCTCTTAAATTTTCTTCAATACTTTATATTATTGCTCTTACATAAGTTTCTTCAATGTTTTACTTTTGTGCCTGTACATTAACTGAAATGGTTTATATTTCTGACCCTACATTAACTTTCATACTTCACAATATTTGACCTTTGACCTTTGCTGGAATGTAACGCCAAAACAGAAAATATTAAGACAAATTTCAAAAGATAATGATGGCTAATTGATAAAAATTAACACCTATCTGAAAATCTGATATCCTGAATATTGTTACACTTACTTGACATTTCGTAAGACAGTTGGCAATTATTAAAATTAGATTTAATTCTTGGATATGTGTCAAAAATTGTCTTTCAATATCCTGTAAATTGCCCTTTATTTGCTTTCAAAACATGTTTTGGGATTATTGATACAATGGGATATTGAAGAAGGAAGTAAGAGAATGAGGTATGGGTAGGGACACGTTTAACTTTGTGTATTGTGTACTGTATAGTGATAATCCCACACGATACACTGTATACCACAACAGGATACCTTACCTTGTTTACCTCTGATAATCCAACACGATACACTGTATACCACAACAGGATACCTTACCTTGTTTACCTCTGATAATCCAACACGATACACCGTATACCACAACAGGATACCTTACCTTGTTTACCTCTGATAATCCAACACGATACACTGTATACCACAACAGGATACCTTACCTTGTTTACCTCTGATAATCCAACACGATATACTGTATACCACAACAGGATACCTTACCTTGTTTACCTCTGATAATCCAACACGATACACTGTATACCACAACAGGATACCTTACCTTGTTTACCTCTGATAATCCAACACGATACACTGTATACCACAACAGGATACCTTACCTTGTTTACCTCTGATAATCCAACACGATACACTGTATACCACAACAGGATACCTTACCTTGTTTACCTCTGATAATCCAACACGATACACTGTATACCACAACAGGATACCTTACCTTGTTTACCTCTGATAATCCCACACGATACACTGTATACCACAACAGGATACCTTACCTTGTTTACCTCTGATAATCCCACACGATACACTGTATACCACAACAGGATACCTTACCTTGTTTACCTCTGATTATCCAACATGATACACTGTATACCACAACAGAATACCTAACCTTGTTTACCTCTGATAATCCCACACGATACACCGTATACCACAACAGGATACCTTACCTTGTTTACCTCTGATTAACCAACACGATACACCGTATACCACAACAGGATACCTAACCTTGTTTACCTCTGATAATCCAACACGATACACCGTATACCACAACAGGATACCTTACCTTGTTTACCTCTGATTAACCAACACGATACACCGTATACCACAACAGGATACCTAACCTTGTTTACCTCTGATAATCCAACACGATACACCGTATACCACAACCGGATACCTAACCTTGTTTACCTCTGCTAATGCTTAATTATGATCTATAAAATGGTAGTCATATTCTATACTCAAGACCTAAATATACATTCAAAATATTTGAACATGCTGGAATTAGCCTTATTAACAGACATTCCAGCAGGGTCCAGTCTCAATGATAATCTCAGTTGACAGAGCAATAGATAAGTTTATTAATTATGTGGAAATTAGACATATGGTTTTAGTTAAAAAGACACACACACAGCCTTGTAGTAGACAAAAACACTGTTTCATAATAAACAATAATTGAATATAAAATTATACAATCTGTATATGACTGGCATTTAAAAATTCATATCAATAACCCTCAAAAATATTTGTCTTATCAAGATTCACCTATTGATGTGACACAGTAGATATTGTAACAGTCAGTAGACTATAATGAATACAGGAGTAGTTGATAGTAAACAATGAATGATAATCATACTCTCTAGATTGTAGTCTGCCTGTCAAGTCTAATAATCACTGTTATAATGACGTGTAGAGTTATTTCCCTTCAAGAGGCTATTGACAATGTAAAGTGAAGAGTGAGATTGTGGCAAGTAGTTTGGTATCAAGAAATGATAGCACTACATAACAGTATTGATTTGTTGGGTATCACAGACGGCAATATATGGACTGAGGAAGTCAAGCGAGTAGTCTTTCTACAGCCACAATCCTATAATTCTATTTACTGGCTGCTACTTGGACTTAATGTTTCTAGTAAACAGTGTATTGGTTATATACTTGGTATTTACGTGATTATTAAGGCTGATATTTCGGTGTTAATACCTAGTTATGTTTTAAAACGGTAAGTATATATGTGAGATTGTTCAATGTGATTATTAGTTTGATCAGATAACCAAGAGGCATCATGAATTCAATATAATAATCATATAGTGTTTAGTTTGGCTTTAAATTGACAGTTGATTATTAAAGCTTTTCACCGCAAGCTGTTTGTATTGACAGATTGTCGGTTACAGCTTTACGCATGAGTGATTTCCCCCTGACGGACCAACAAGTAATAACTAGGGAGAGAACCAGCATGTTATTATTCTATTGAAGGCCTCGAGGATAACTCTCATCCTAAGATTAGCTCATTTTCAATTTTTTCTGGTAGTGGATCAATAATGTATTGGATAATGTTATTTGCTGATTTTATTTTGCCTTTAAGCTTCGATTATTGTGTTGTTATGTGGAAGCCATGTTTTAACCATCTCTTTAGGCTTTGCTATTTTATTGTTTTTTTATTTAGAATTAATTTTCAACTTAAGATTTTAGGTAGCCAAGGGGTTTAAGGTATTTATTTTATTGCCAATATTGTCGTTTTTTCTTGAGTCTTTGTGTTAAGCCTGTAGCACACAGAGTTTTGATTTCATAAAAGACGCCTCTTTCCTTGTCCTCTCTGAATTGAATTATTGACCAGGCAAAAGCAGTAATTTTTTAAGGTTCTTTATGTACAGCCTGTAGCACAATGAGCCTTGATTTTCATCAGTGAGGCCTCTTTCCATGCCAGCTTCTCTGAATTTAAATAATAATAATAATAATAATAATTTATTTGTACAAAAAATAGTACATTTACAAAAATACAATACATTTACAAAAATACAGGGTCACTAGATGGAACCAGGTTGAAAAATCCGGTTTTTCATGATTCTTTGTGTACAGCCTGCATAGCACAGCCATATTCATCAGAGATCATCTGCCCATGCAATAATTAGAATAATAACAAGAGGGTACTAGGTTGAACAATCGGAGGGTCATTCTTTGACCTTTGCTGGAATGTAACGCCAAAACAGAAAATATTAAGATAAATTTCAAAAGATAATGATGGGTAATTGATAAAAAATTAACACCTATCTGAAAAAACTGTTAAATTTTTCATAAAAATGTCAGGATATCCTGAATATTGTTACACTTACTTGACATTTCGTAAGACAGTTGGCAATTATTAAAATTAGATTTAATTCTTGGATAAGTGTCAAAAATTGTCTTTTAATATCCTGTAAATTGTGCATGAAATATCCATAGGAAGTGTAAGTAAGTTATCCTATTGTCTTCAAACATGACTGGCAAGATACAAATTAAAGCATGTACCATATTTGTAGAAGACCTCTTTTTATCGCTTCAAATGAACACGACTGGCAAAAAAAATCCAAACAACATTCCTGTACAAGATTGGATGGAATTTTGTTTTTTGATCACTCTTGATGAACATGACTGGCATAATACATCCTTATCAACTAAGTTATATATATTTTATGATATCAAATAGATGTGTGTAGATGTGATAGACTATAGTTTGTAATGACTGGCAAATACAACCAAATCAGCATCCATTTATTGTACTGTACATGATTGGAAGGTCTAATGATTTTTATCACTCTAGTTCAACATGACTGGCAAATTTAACTCTATCAACATCCCTGTAGACAAGGAATAAAATACTAAGTAAAAATTGATGTGTGTAGATAGATAGGCTATTGTTTTTTATATAGCTTTAGTTTTAATGATTCTGTTTCAACATGACCGGCTAATACAACCTCATCAACATCCCTGTAGACAAGGAATAGTATAAAATGGATATGTGTAGATAGATATTCCATTGTTTTTATTATATAGCTTTAGTTCAACATGACTGGTAAATTAAACACTGTCAACATCCCTGTAGACTAGGAATTAATATACTAAGTAAAAAATTGATGTGTGTAGATAGATAGGCTATTGTTTTTAATGATTCTGTTATAAACTTAGCTTGATCAATATTCTTACATAATATCAGAGTTTATTACTTATTTTAATTACTTATATAATGTATATCAATATTGACTATGGTAGATATTCATATGAGCTCTGTGCATCATTGTTTTGAGTGCATAAACGCACTTCTTAAAACATAAGTTCAGAACTTTTCTCCAAACATAGACATGACTTCAATAGGCTGAAAATAAGTCAGTTATCAGAAGATCTCATAACGTGAAACTTTAAGTAACAATATGATTCAAGTTCTGTTTTTATATTTCTAAGTGCATACAGGTTCAATTGCAGGATAATTGATACAGTGGTAAAAAGACAAGAACTCTCAGAAGCTCCATGGGTTTTGTGCCTCACAGCATTTTCACCGACATTTGTCTCCACATTAAATCAATCTGCTCCCTATTTGTACCCCCAGTCTGATCGAGGCTGCCACAAACACTGCTAGTGATATGAAACCAACAATATGTCTTTGTCAACAATATTATTAATATTTCTGTTGATGTCATTGTCAATGTCATTGGATGATAAATTTTTATTTATTTTGAAATTTCTTCACCATTTGCCTTATATTCAACTGTGAAATATTTCGAAATGTATATGATACATTGGTTTTTTCACGATATTTCTGAAATTTTTATAAATTATATATTATATTTAGTGTTATTTATATCTATGTAAGTAGTTAATGGTGGTCATTGTGGGATACACTTATTTTTTCTGAAAATTTAATTAAGAATTAATTTGATATTAAATAATACATTCTCAATAACAGTTAGTGATAAATCCTCATTTTCATGATGCATTCGTTTTTAGTAGTATTTCACAATTGCAAACTAATGCAAAACTGTTTTTTTTACATAGAAATAACATTTGACAAAAAATAAATTATGCTGTTTTAAAGCCCTATGATGTCATCAAGTTAAATGAATGAAAAGATAAGATCGTTAACAAGAAAAGTTAATTAGTATTAATAAATAATTAAGATGACTATTTCTATATTGAGATGTAACAGTGAGGTTATAATGTATTAACTACATTTTTCATATCTGACTGTGAACTGGTCTTATAAACTGGCACTGATATGGAATTGTTCAACTTCAACCCTTTTATATTTCTAAAATCATCATTGATAAATTGCTGTAATGTAACTGGTAACCGTTCTCAGAAGAGTTTTCTGTATTTGCCTAATGAGTGACCTTCACCTTTTCTGGAGGATTATCTTCTCTTTGTTCGGTGCCATTATTGTCTACATTCAAAAATCCGCTGAAAACTGTATTGTAAAGCAGTCATTGTCCTGGCCTTTTACTGAAAGTCTTAGAATGAGTTTGCATTTACAAAAAAACGACATCCTCTTAAAAAATATTTCATTTCATTTACAAAACAGTAAATCTTGATTTGATCTGATAAGAAATATTGCAAAATAATAACATATTTAACATAACTTTATAAATGTGAAATTCTAAGATAGTATTTTTTTGGACCACCCTTAAAAGAAGTTTGAAATGCCAAATGGTATGATGTAAAAGTATATCTGTAATTACTGTTTCGAAGGTAGAATCTAACTCAACTTTACCTGTTATTGTTGGCCGCAGTTTTCTAATATCAACATCCACTCCCAAATGTTTTCCTTTCTAGAATTTGATTTTTAAGATTTTTATGTATGATACTGGTATTTCAAATGTTATGAATTCTTCTGATTCCTGTTAATGGCATACAGGAACTTTTTTTGTGTTGCATAATTAAACTTTTAACAAAGGAATGTCTCTCATTGCAATTAAATTGAATTATATTAGATCATTTTTCAAAATTCTTCAACATGTTTTGAAATAGTTCCTTTAGGTTATGCTTTTGCACTACAAATTTCAGCTTCTAAGCTTTCATACTTTGGACATTATGGTCCCCTTTGGAATAATTGAAATATTTTGATATATTTTCAGAGAGGAGAGACAATAGGTCAAGATGCATTTGGTAATACATTCTGGTACTTTAATGGTAAGTCTAACCTTTCTATTCCTTAGTGTTAAGTTGCAGGGACCAAACCTGCATAAATTCCCTTTTATCTGAATGATTAAAATCTATGTAAATCATGGTATTAGTAGCTAGGAATCTGGCGTAAATAAGAGTATCTGTCTACTTCTATCTGAATGATTGAAATCTATGTAAATCATGGTATTAGTAGATAGGAATCTGGTGTAAATAAGAGTATCTATCCACTTCTATCTGAATGATTGAAATCTATGTAAATCATGGTATTAGTAGATAAGAATCTGGTGTAAATAAGTCTATCTGTCCACTTCTATCTGAATGATTGAAATCTATGTAAATCAAGGTATTAGTAGCTAGGAATCTGGTGTAAATAAGAGTATCTATCCACTTCTATCTGAATGATTGAAATCTATGTAAATCATGGTATTAGTAGCTAGGAATCTGGTGTAAATAAGTCTATCTGTCCACTTCTATCTGAATGATTGAAATCTATGTAAATCATGGTATTAGTAGCTAGGAATCTGGTGTAAATAAGAGTATCTGTCTACTTCTATCTGAATGATTGAAATCTATGTAAATCATGGTATTAGTAGATAGGAATCTGGTGTAAATAAGAGTATCTGTCTACTTCTATCTGAATGATTGAAATCTATGTAAATCATGGTATTAGTAGCTAGGAATCTGGTGTAAATAAGAGTATCTGTCTACTTCTATCTGAATGATTGAAATCTATGTAAATCATGGTATTAGTAGCTAGGAATCTGGTGTAAATAAGAGTATCTGTCTACTTCTATCTGAATGATTGAAATCTATGTAAATCATGGTATTGGTAGCTAGGAATCTGGTGTAAATAAGTCTATCTGTCCACTTCTATCTGAATGATTGAAATCTATGTAAATCATGGTATTAGTAGATAGGAATCTGGTGTAAATATGAGTATCTGTCTACTTCTATCTGAATGATTAAAATCTATGTAAATCATGGTATTAGTAGCTAGGAATCTGGTGTAAATAAGAGTATAAATCATTGTGGTTTATTGACAGGAATAACAGCTAATTGAATTAAAGACCTTTGTGATAGTCATTACTACCAACAGTAATTATTCTTCCACTCATTCCTTTTATTGGCTTCTTCTTATTATTTACAAGCACAAGTATCCAGTGCAAAGGCCCAATTCTGTTTCATTCTGTAAACAAATTGAGAACTGTACAGGCAGAAAGTTTCCAGTTTGAAATTCAATTCTCTTCTTTTCTGTAAACAAAATTGATGACCACATAGTGGAATGGTGTTTCAGCTTTTTCTTAGACTAAATTTTCAAGACCAATTTAAGACTGCACAGAGGATGGTAATTGAAGATACCAAGGGTCTTGCCATTGTCTATGATCTTAGTTACACAAAATATTATGAAAAAATTGAAGCCTGTAGGAGTTCTGTAGACACACAGGATATGGTGCTTAAGAACTGAACCACATTCTGGAGTAATGATTACTGTGAGTTAATTTGGAAACAAGATTTAAAACGTTGAAGTTGTCTACTAGATCAATGACCTGTCTGGCCTACTGGATAGTATTTGAATCTATTGGTCTGTCGAGCACTGACCAGGTTTGAACCAGGTTCGTTCAGTGTGATAATGTTGGTCAAGAAATAATATGCTATGAGGGCAGACAGTGTCTTGAACCTGAGGTCCTAGTGAATTATTAAAACTTATAAGAATCTCATCAAATTCAGTTTCATATATAATAAATACTGGGTTATAGAACTTGGTGGTACTGGTTCAAGTTGATATCACAATATTAAGCATTAATACATCACGATATGGGTATTTATTGTGATACCGGTATATCACCTATAATATTTATTAACTTTTAGATGATAGCAATGAAGTGAATATTTCAGTGGTTTGCTGTGTACGTGGGCCAAGTTTTAATGTTAGTTCTGTAGAGTTTCTATTTGACATTATTGGTAACTTGCTACTAATAAATTCTAGGTTTATAAGTTTTAATAAATATGGTGGCTCTTTTATGTGGTTTGTCCAAGTTCTAAACGTAGTTCTGTGGATTTCTTTTTAGTCATTTAGTTATTAGTGTCTTGCAATAAATAAATTCTACATTTATTGTCTTTTAATTAAAGTTATCTGGTCAGTTGAATCCTTGATACAAGCTCCAATATGTAGTCTGGAGTTCTTAAATTTAGTTGTTTTGTGTCATACAATTAAAAAGTGGAACGATTATATGCTTTAAATAATGGATACTATATTTGGTTTGGTTGCATCCTTGGTCCAAGTTCTAATTTTATAGTTCTGTGAATTTTCTATTAATCATTTAGTTGTGTGCACCTTGTACAGGGGATTTATCATCTGAAATACTTACTTAACCAGCTGATAGAAGTTATGGTCAGTTATCTGCAGCAATATCAGTATTAAAATCTGATGCCCTGATATCAACATTATCTGAAACAATGTTAAACGATTACACTATAGAAATTTAAGATTGGTGTTACGCTGTCAGTTACAGTCTCAGACCTTGTCCTGTTATTCCAAATTTTTTGTTTGAAATGACATGAAGATATAAAGAAAAAAGTCGTTATATTTGAAGAATATTCTTGGCATATTTGTTTGTTTTCTTATGACAAGTTGAAATTTTTATTCTAGAAATAAACAGAAAGAGTATAGTTGTATAAATTTGTTTGTGTCTAATATTATATTATAACTGTATGAAATAAGTATTAATTATCATACAAACATCCTTTCTGGAAAATGAGAAATCATATTAACGGTGATTTATGAAACTAATTACTTTTCTCCTAATTGAAATAAACTTTGTGTAGGTAGATGGAATTTCATTATGTTAGATATGAAAACCTTTTGAAATTGATCGAAATAGATTTTTTAAAGAGAAAATTAATAATTTTAATAACTTTTCAGGTTCCACCATTATGTAGAAGTTTCCCAATTAACCAGACAATCAAACCTTACAAGGATACATAAGAAAATAATGATCATAGGCAAAATTTATTTTACATTATCAAATTATTTCTTGTTAAATAGTAGAGAAAGACATGAGATCAAACACCTCCCAAACCCCCTCTCTACTACTATAATAAGTTTGAAAGGAAAAAATATAAAATTCATTTCAACAGCCTTGAAAAAATGGAAAGAACATTGTACGTCTATTTTACTGTCTGGCTATTTGATCATATGATGCTGATAATTCCCTTGACATTTCTACCCCTCAAAAGTAAAATAAAGGAAAAATTCAGGCTGTATAGAAAGAGTCTGTGTACGTTTATATTTCGGAGATGATAAGACAAACAATACAAATACGAATCGGATGCCTTCTGCAAAAAAATAAAAGTATAGTGTAGATCCATCAAGTTTTTACTGCCTATCTTTTGGGTCATATAATTGCCAACAATTTCCTGTTTTGTTTCCATTCCTTCAAATCAAATTTAAGAAAAATTATATTGTAGACTTGATAGGTCACGAATCTGTATGATTTTATTTCTGAAATGACGGTATTGTATATAAAAAAAAAAATACTGGTGGATAGGGGTACCTTTTAAAACACCATTCATGTATTTCACTTAACAAAAGATTTGGCATTTAACTATGCTACCTGTATGGAACGTTTCCATTACAATCAAATGATTACTAGTCAGCCTGTTTTAATATGTTACCATGGAAACATGACAGAATCTTAACTAATCTTTATAGAGATGAAACATTTCTAACAATTTATTTTCCTCGTGTACAATATCCTACCTTTTTTTCTACATCAGATTATTGGCTTTATTAAATGTATTTTTAACTGAGTTCCGTGTTTGTTTTTCTATTTGAACTGCTTGTAGTTTGAGGAATATATAGTGCCTGACGTAAATTATTTGCTGTTTCATTTACATGTTTCAAAATTGAGAAGAATTTTTGTAGTTTGAGAAATATTTAGGTAGAATGAGGTAGAATATTTGGTGTTTGGTTTACATGTAAAATTTAGGTATAGATTTAGATTTTGAAATTAAAGTAACTGTTATGTTCTTAAAATATTGACCTGATTAATTAATGTTATTTATTATGAATACATAGACAAAAGAATTTGTGTTGAAGCAATCCTGGAAGTATTTTCTTGTAAGAATCAGAAAGATAACAATCTTTCGCCCAAAATTTCAAGTAGGTCGGGGTATATATGATCGGGCCATCAAAACTATAAAATCTGAGTCAGGGAATCGCATGTTTGAGCAGGGATGTATTAGAATTATTTTTTAAACCAAATTTTATTTCTCAAATCAAAGATTATTTTTGTATGCTGTTAACGAGACATATTTACACGGCTTGATGAAAACTGACGAGCATAACAAATCTACCCCTAAGTTTAGAAATGAGTTCTTCCAATTGTACATAAACAGTTTCATATTGGTATAGTGTATGCATGTGCAGAAGAGTTCAATAGTTAGGTCAAGGGGTGTAATATACATGACTGACTCAATATATCCAGTCTTGATTTATAGAAAGAAATATTCAGTAACCTCTACATATGTACAACATATGGTGAATACAATATTGACTTCTATATGTTGAGTGCAACCCAAAAAACCATGCCAAAATATTTTAAGAATATTTCTCCTACTTCAGGTCTATTTTGTGTATTTTTTCTCCAGTGTTAGTTAACATATTACATCTGTTGGTTTATCTTGTTGAAGAAAAATAAGAATTGAATTATAGTGAGCTGTAGATAGGTTTTAATCCTTCAGAATACAATTAGTCATATTCAATTTCTCTCGGCTTTCAGCTGTTCACCCTGAATATTTTAGTTTTTAGAAGTAAAGTCGTCTAAATGTATACCTTAAATGGTGAGGGTGGAAAATTTTGTTGGCTCTGATTTTTGTCACAGACTAGAGTCTTGTCAAAGAGTTTCACCGCCTGGCTGTGGACATGCAAGAATAGAGAAAATCTCCAGTTGGTCGTTTTCTATATGTCGATATTGCTTTGATTATGGAATTAATAAATGAAATGAATATGATTGGATGATGAGGCTCTGTGGAGTCTTGTCTTGTCGTAAGTACGGTTACACGAAGACAACAATTGCCAACGAGAAAAAAAATCATTGACAATTATCAAACTGGTTTGATGTTCAAAATCCTGTTGACAACACGATTATCTTGTAGTGGAAGGGAGGGCATATGTGAAATTTTACTCAATGCGTTAGCGTCAAAAATAGGCGACAAACACTGTTCATGTACCCTCATGAAATTTAGGACTGGATAACTGATTATTTGCAAATATTTTTTGAAGTTTAAAATGGAATTTTGAATGGTTAAGTTTGATGCTATATCCAAACTTGATGATATCACTATGTTCAAAGCTGTGTGCTATAACAGTGAGGATAGAGCAAGCTGGTATTACAGTATTAATAAATGTGAAGGATAAGATTCAATTAGATTTTGACCCCACTATACTTCCTTGACAACTGCCTTGTTTTAACACCATAGAGCTGCATACAGAGTAAGTTGTTGGTATAAGAAATCGGATATGATATGCCACCACTCTTGGACTCGTGAGGCTATGCCTTGCCACGTTACTGGACTCTAGACGTTTCTTGAATCAGACCAGTCAGACAGATATTTCTATGATGTATAAGATATAAATACTGAATGAGTTGGTGGTATAATAGATGAGATATTAACAGTAAAATGACAGTAAGATATGATTACTCTAATCAATATAATAGTCCTCTAGTACCAGTGTTAAATATCACCAATAATCATTTATTAACACCTTCAATATACTCACATCTGCCAGTCAGGAATGGTTTACTTTCCATAGCACCCTCAGATATATACTCGTTCTCTGGCCTTGTTTTCTGGCCTTGTTTTCTGGCCTTGTTCCCTGGCCTTGTTTTCTAGTTTTGTTTTCTGGCCTTGTTCTCTGGATTTGTTTTCTGGCCTTGTTTTCTGGCCTTGTTCTCTGGTCTTGTTTTCTGGTTTTGTTTTCTGGCCTTGTTCTCTGGATTTGTTCCCTGGCCTTGTTTTCTGACCTTGTTCTAGACAAGTGAACTAAGGTTAATTATGTTGAGTATTTAGGAATAAGTCCACAACTATATGGACCCTTCTTTCACATTCAGCATAATGCTGACAGTTTTTGTTTATATTTTCAATTATACTCAGTTATGCCTTAACCTTTTCTTGACTTGCTTGTAAGCAAAGTGTTTTTTGTTTATTTTTTTTATTCTCCTCTATTTTGTAATTGAGGACTTGTAATCAGTAAACAGTCTGTGGTTTAAAATTCTCATCATGTTAGTCTTTATCAGTCTTAAACCTTACAAAAACTTCAACTATTTTTAATTTCCTGTTCAAAACTTGCTCTTATTGTGAGCTATAATTGTCAAAGAGAACTGTGGCGCTAGACTTCAAGAACCTGAAAATTGCTTCAGGAATTCAGGAAGATGTATAAGAATTGTTTTGGAATTATTGATCCATTTTCACATACCTCAAGACATAATATGGGATGTCAGGGATGCTGATGTGACAGTTTTTGCCAGTCATATACAAAAAATGTCCAGCTTTAAATTTCCTTTTTTGAATCTGTTGTTGAAAATCTTTATCCAATTTACTCGGAACCGACAAGTTAGGGTATATTTTTTGGCTTGTATTCCTGGATCAGGGGTCGTTGATGTTTTGATTTACAGAAAAACAGGACTTAATTTAAATTCCATAAATATATATACAAGAATGATGTCAAGGTATAAGACTAAGAGTTTGATATACCTTGACATTGTAAAGATGTGATTATGTTACTTTGATTTATTGAGTCATTATTAGAAAATCATGTGTAGATATATAGGGGATTTTTATCACTGTATGTTTTTTGTCTTGAATTCCTGGATCAAGGGTCAGTACAGCTCTAAACATGTGTGTATGTACCTTGTTAAAACCACTTATAAAATATTTATTTTTAAAAACCCTTTGATAAGGTGTCTTTTGTCATATAAAGAACTTTCAGGGTAGACACTAGGGGAGAATCTCCTTGATCTTATTTTATTTCATAATCATAAAAGCAAACATGAGTATTGAAATGAAATTTGAGACACTAGTTAAATTCATAATATTTGTTAAGAATTGAGAAATGGTTTTATTGAAATATCAATTCACTGAAATATAATCCTAGATAAATCATTTTATTGTTCTACCTTGAGATGTTTATTTTGATGGTGAACAATGGATAGTGTTAAATAAGAGACAGGGTGTGCTTGTTGTGGAACTGTACATCTCTGAATTCTTTCCTTGATTGTATAGCAGCATTAAAGTGGGAAGGGCATCGGTTGTGGTGTACTGTATGGGTTGATCAATATAGTAGAACATAGAAGAAGCAAATTGTGTCTGGTCCAGACGATTACCACATGTATTTGCTACTTCCATTTTCTACTATACCAATTATTCCTTGTCGTACACCACACAGGACATCGTACACCCACAGGACACAGGACATCCTACATCAA